GTCTATTTTCACCTGAACTTAGAAGTCTATGCATAACAGCTGTTAGCAACTGTGTGTGCCCTTCAAGTCCTGGCAGTGAAAGTGTTACTATTTTGGTTTAAAAGCGAACCTCTGTACCAGGATATATGGGGCTACTCCCATGACAGAGATGTTCCCACATGGCTCATCTAAGAACAATTATTCTAACATCATTTGACATTCACTTCTCTACGGTGTCTTTCCAGCCTAGGGCCTATAAGTTTATTTTACTTCTTACACAGACTTGAATTCCATGTAAGCCTTCCTAGGTCCCAGTTAAATAAATGCACACAAGGTCTGGTCTTTAGGCAAACTTTTTAATACCGCTGCCCCCACAATAAAGCATTCAGATCCACAGTACGTGTCTAGCTTTCTTAAATGTAATTGACACCTCATAGGAAAAAAGGGGCAGAGACATTTGCTTTTCCTTTTGTCTACTGCTACAGGGAGATAAAAGCACTTATTCACAGAATGATAAACTACTACACATACAAGACCAGTTTTGGGGGTTCTTTCTGCTATTTCTTTTCCATGGAGAAAGAAGGTCCTCTAGAAGGCAAATTCAGTGCATCTAGATTATGCATCTGCGCTGAATTTGTTCTTGAGAGGGAATGGGCTCTTCCACTTACAATCAAGGGAGCAGGGAAAGATTTTCCTCTCGTGCATAAGATCAGTGTGTCAGCTCTTTACAACGCTAAACAAAAGAAACTTGCACGAATGCTCCTGAATTCTTCCTTTGGGCTTAGATGCTGCAGCTGCATTTGCTAAGGATTGTGTGTGCCATATCTCGTGCAGAACACGGGTCGGATCAGACTAGTTTTTCACCCAGCCAGTCATCCTGTCAGTGACCAGCCCCAGACACTTCAGAGAACAGATAAAACTCACCAAACACCTCTCATTGTTTACGTATATTTTAAAATCTTCAGGCAAAAACGCTGATTTTTGAACATATGTTTGCTTAGTACACAGCATGGTCTTTACGTTATTTCGGTGTTTACAAGTGGCTTATTAACCTTCCTCTGAACATGTTTTTTCTTATATTGTTTTTACACTACAGACTTGCTTACCCTTTTCCATCCCTCAGCAGGCATAGCAGAGGTGAGAGAAGGATTTTTGAAGTTATACAGCACTTCAATTTGGCAAAGGGAGAAAAACGCTCAAAAAACAAAAGCCTTCTTTCCCTTGATAAATAGTGGGTAGTCTAAGCAATCAATGAATTCTCCAGTGTATCTATCACCAATTCATATTTACACAACGACGCCACAGAAACAAACAACAGAAACTAACAACAGTACCTGAACCATCACCTAAACAAAAGAAGTGATTTTTAAGCTTCACTTTTATTGAGCTACCAATAACATTTATGCATCAGCTATGTTATAAAACAACAATTAAAAGCTTGCAGTTAACTTCTGGCTTCCTGAAAGCTTTGTAATTGACTTTCTGGAAGCAAATACGGAGCAAAAGAAACCTTTGCCACAGCTTAGCGAATACCAGGTCTTCTGGTTTGACGGTCAAAGAAAAAAAGACTGAACAAAAAATCATTTTACCCCAAATAAAAACATTTAATTTCTGAGTGCATATTTTTTATTTGAAAAGTGCAAACTGAAGTAAGCATATGGAGTGATGTTACTTTAGAAGCAAAAAATGCAAGGATTTAATTGTAAAAAGATAGGAAGCATTCAGACTTCCTAAATTTCCTATCTTTTCATTAGTTGAAAAAAAATAATTGCCAAGGTGCTTCATTAGGTCCAACCGACCTTCTTTAGAGAACCGTCTAATAGTTCCAATATTCTGTCCAGCTCCAATTCTGTCCTTGTGACTGGCTTTTCATTTAGAGACCATACCACAGTAACCAATGTTATATCAAACTTAAACGTGCAGCTCTTTTCTATCTCTAAAAATAATTAAGAGTGAGATCACCAAGGAACACAGATGCTAATTCTTAAAGAATGGGGGTGGCTGGGGTTCAAGTGGAATTCAAATTACAGCTTCAAATTAATCTGCTTACCTGATAATAAGCTAGATGTCTTCCCTCAAAATACACCCTTGTTTGGTACTCCATAGGTATTATTGGAGGGCTAGGGTTTAGAAACTGTGGGCATTCTTCTTCCTGGGGAGAAAAACATTTTATATTTTATTTAAAATAAAAAATATCTTTCCACAACAAGCTTCATTGGCCTTTGGACAATTAAATTATTGTTCTAAAGAACTTCATGCTTAAAATACAGTGACAGATTTGATTACACCCTTTCAAATTAGACATGCTAAAAATGACTACAGCATATGTCAAAGCTGTGGGTGATTTTCTTTCCTAGCCTTGAAATCTTGTTCCTCCCATTGAAGCAAAATAGTAAAATGAACAAAAATATCCTTTCAGAAGTTATTCAGTTTCACTGCTCCTCCTCAATCACACCCTTAAATTCCCACCTCCTCACTGTCACTAAAAAAAAAAAAATCTTACACTTCTGGAGTTAACTTCAGAATCATTTTTAAATCCCTAATTTAACCAACGGGTCTGAGAGAAAAAATAAAGAAAATATTGAAGTGTTCTAATAAAAACCTAATAATTTTATTTTTAAACAATACCATATTTTGTTTAATCACATCCTGTTTTGAAGAGGACTCTTCACAGGTATGTCTCTTCCAGTCCCACTGGCAATTCCATCTATTGCTCGCACAGGAATAGCATCTACAAATACAACATGATAGTCATGACAAACTATCAGGCTTTTTCCCCCGTTGACAAAAAAAGTAAATTAAATTCCATCTTTATTCACAGAGAGTAGATCAACCTGCTACAGTATCTTACTATATTAAGCTGAGAACTTCATAGTGAGCACAGTTCAAGAACCCCCAAAAGCTTTTTTTCCCTCCTTACATATAAGCAAGGCTCAGAAGACCACCGCATCTCTCAATGTTTGGGAATGATTTTGATCAACCTGCACATGTCAGGCTGAAAAATGGGTTGTTTGAGTTGGCTGTGCCTGCCCTGGGGCAGCAGCATCTCACAGAGGACCACAGAAGACGATGGCAGCAGAGTCAGCTTTGACCATCCTAGTTGAATCCACCATAACCCAAAGCTCCACATCTGATATTCATGGGTAGGTAAGTGGAGGGCCGCAGAGCTCACCTGCGGATACGTCAGCAGCTACAAAAATGGGAACCCAGTGAACAGGCCCGTAATTATATATGCCATGAATATTCACATTCCAAGTGTTTTATGTTACCAGCTCACCTGTGCCCATCAACCATTTTTAAGTCCATTAAAACATAAGAAAAAGAATTTGGATACGAGAAAAGTCTGGGTGTGCCAAAGGCTTAATTACAAAACGATTCAATAACTCAGCTGTGAGCTACCTGACACCCAGCTACACGGTCTAAACACTTAAGAAGCTGAAATACTTACGGCTGATTTTCAAAAAGATTCATTGCTTCTTCACAGTCATAAAAAGGATAAGTATGTGATGCAAAAAATATCTTTTCCTCGTCAAAGGTTAACTGTAATGGAACTGAAACATGATCTATCACAAAAGAAAAAAAATCATCTAAGTGGTTGTTGAATTCTTTAGCTCTTCAGTAGAAAGATTTAAAGATAATGCTTTTATTATTTGTACAGGACATAAGCAAATATTTAACCATACCGTTGACACTCTGGATCTCATGACTTGTTATATTTTAGATCTACGAGCTCTGCATTTGTCTTTTTGACCTTTACAAATTTTTCAGTGAATGATGTTTGGAAGAAAAGCATAGATGTGATAAATGAAAAAAGCAAAATTACAGAATAGCTTTGGTCTATGGAAGTGTTTCTTCGTGGTATTAACATCATGCTAGAATTTTTTAAAGAGTCTAAAAGAATAAGGAAAACTGAATAAGGAGGTAATTGAACACAGATGAAAACTGGCATGAGAACAGTCATTTTAAATAAAATATTTTCTTAAATATGAATATGTCTTCATGCAAAATTACGTGTTTCATTTGTGGATTATAATTGTCATCGTCATGTGAATCAAAACAAGCGATCCTTGTGGTTACTGCTCAGTAATGCCTGCAATGCTAAGTTACCACAGGCACTTGCAATCTTCAGTTTGCTGTACATGATTTCTTCACAAATGTACTGCTCGTCTGGATCATCGCTGAGCTAAGAGCGGAAAATTTATCTTTAGAAATTGGTGTTTTTCTCAGCAAAGCTCTCTGAAATACCTTTCGCAGAAATCATTAAGCCCTGGTGACAAGCTATTTCACAAGCTATTGGGCAACTTCAAACTCTGCTTTCCTTGAACAGGTTCTTGAAAGAGCATGAGCAGCTTGGCTGGAAGTCGCCTTTGCTGGTGCTGGGTCCCAATGAAGATTTCAGACTGCTAGAAATGCCAGAGGATTTCCTAAAAATGGTATTTCAATAAAGCATCCTTCCTCTCAGGAATATCCCGTTCCCTTTCGAAATGACCACAGCTGCAGCAAGCTGGCCCTGTCCAACCTCCGCAGGGTTTATTCACAGCAAGTGGAAGTCTCTGGATTTGTGGTCACACACCGTCAGGAACGACTGCTTGCCTTAATAACCGCCTGTCTTCTGCTGAAGGGTCTGCCCAGCTTCTGAACATCCTCCTACTATTTTCTGAACGTCCTTTCAGAAGGATCTTTCTGTGCCAACCTGAGGGATGTATTATTTCTAGATGACTGGGTTACTCTAATGCCATCCTGACAGGCTTTTAGTCTCCTAGACTAGTCCAGGATGACTAGTCACGTTTGTCAACCTGGTCTCTTCATGTCTCACTTTACAAAGTATTTGGGTAGCATGAGTTGGCCCTCAATAAGGGAGTGCTGTTTTAACACCATAATCTGATACCTTCACACACCTCAGCTATTTTAAAACTTAAGGGTAAGATTTTAACTTTGTTGTTCTCTGGGCAAATAAAACTGGATTTTGGCCTGTTTCAGCCCTAAGAGAATGGAAATTTATCTTAAAAGTGTTTCAAAGTACTCTTCTGACAGTTCATGGCAGTTCTGATGATACATATTAAAAGACTCTCTTCAGGGGTACCTCTAAGAGCTGAAAGAGCGCTTGATGCTTTTTTAACCTGATACATAATAACCAGTGTTGTGTTACTGGTTTTATTGCATGTGCCTACGTATCAAAATCTACGAACCTGAAGCGTTAATCCAGCGCTAGCTAGGAAGTAGCACAAGAATTATGGCTGGCGACAAACCTCAAAGCATATAATCAGTGGTTCAGAACAGCGATACAGTCTTTAATTATATGATCACATATTTTTCCACTGGACTTACTAGTGCATAAGCCGGGAGGAACACAGTAAAAGAGGGAAAGGCGTTACACTATGAGAAGAAGATAGCCATGGCTCAGAAAACAGGCCGGATCTGAATAATCTTTTTTTTTTTGTTCATCTGGGACAGAGAACAGCACCTCTCTGGCCCCATGTTCATGCCACTGCCAAATTCCTGTTCAGCTTCCCGGTAGAAACGCTGGAAATGCTAAAGCTTGTAAATATAGTAATTTAAAAAGTTGGAGCTTGAGTAAACTTTTTTTTTTTAAATTAAAATTTGATTAGACTAAAATCAAAGATCAAAAATAGACTATTTGTGGGAAAAGGACTGGAAAAGGAAAAAACTTGTAAGCAGCTCTTATATTAAAAAGGTACTGTAACAGAAGCAGCAGGCTATGTTCTTTCCTTTTATTACATATGAAAGTAATATTTCTTTACCTTGACCTTCAGGTGTTAGAGGAATCTGATCGGGAGGATCACAGATAACAACTCCTTCTTTTAATTGAGCATAATGGGTAGTTTTACCAAATGTGCACTCAATTCGGTCACTGTCTGTTAAAGCTGGCAATGGATTTACAGTTAGTTCCACCTGGAAACAAAATTTTAAAAGGGTAAAGTATTTAAAAGAAACTAACCAAAGCCCAGTAAGATTTATGGCCACAGAAGTTTCAGCTGCTCTTTCTCTTGCCAAAGGTGATATTTGGGCTAGTGCCACAGAAGACGGTTCTCCTTTTCAATTTTTGTTTGTTCCTATCTGCTAATCTTTTCTTTTTAACGTTCTGTCACTTTTTCCAGGCTAGGTGGCTGTTGAATTGGGCTGGTACAAAAACCTCTTGTTCGCTCAATGCATCCATCAAATCAGGATAAAAATGCCTGTACACACCCATCCTTAGTCTTTTGCCTTTTGTTCTTGTCCTCAGCATGCAGTTCAGCAACAGTAAACAGAGTGGCTAGCACTTAAATCCTGGTGGCCTTCATTAAAATTATATTAATCTTGGGGTTTATTAGTGGACAATAAAAACAAGGCTAGACGGACTAGAAAAGCTGGAGTTTGAAAGGGCCGAAGAGAAAAGCGATTCCTCAAGACTGCATATACATGCAGAAGAAAACTGGGATCTACCATTACTACTGAAGTGGCATAGAAAATAATTTCTGAAAAAGAAATTTTCTGATATTTTCCTTCAGGACGTTCAGCGTGCCTGTGAGAAACTAAAAGCAAAATAATATGGCAAAACGTAGAAAGGAAAGAGGAAAAAATGTAAGTGAAATATTGGATGCTGTCCTTGATTCAATTCTTCAAGCATGTTAATTAGAGAGTTTTAACTTTTTCCATTTTGTATTGTCTTATTTCACCATACTTGGTTACCAGTAGAAATTATAATTGCCCGTTTCCAACTGAAACTGGTGCATTATGTTGTGAGCTGCAAGACTATTGGCGAATAAAGGAATCATGAGGAAAAGTGACATTAGTGATATTGGAGGTAAGTCATTTGAAGTTGAGTTATGTTTCATGTTTCTTTTTCTTTTTTTCTACTTGCCCGAGATCCTGATACAAGACATCAGAGACTTGTCTGTACAGAGATGCTCAAGAAAGCTGATCTGAACTAAGAAGAGGTGTGGATTTGAAGTGGATTCATTACATTCCACCAATGTTTGTATTCAGCGTGGAAATGGCCTTAACATAATGCTGTTTACATCATTTAGGAATGGAATTAAACTAATTTGAATTAAAGGCTCTTTATTTCTGATTAAGAGGGATTAAAATTCACTTAATAACTTTACTCAAAATTAATCGGATTTTACTTGCCGAGCATCCCCAGGAAGTCCTTAGCCTGCACTGGCATGCTCCTTTTGGAATCAGCGTAGGCAATGACACCCTGATCACGCTTTGAATGCTCAGCCCTGCTGTCATAGAGTAGCTTCACATGCTGAATTTAACATGTATCCAAACTTCCCTGGGTAAGGAAACCCACTGTTCATTTTAAAGGTATGGCTTCACTGCTTACTTCAGTTTATGCTCAAGGGAGCTGAGAGAGGATGTAAGGGCATGATGAAACCTCCCCTATTAATTATCTTTTATGGGTAATATAATATTGTATAACACTTTCACAATATTCAGATACACATAAGCAGTTTGTCATCCATACTAACATATCATTTTCGTTTACAGAGAAGGTCAAAAAGGGCATTTCTTAGAAGAAAACATGAACTGCAACCTGCAAAAACAGCAGGTGAGGAAGAGCATTGTGAGAAACATCAAAGACTGAAAAACACAAAACATAAAATTCTATTTTAAAGTCACCACTGAGCATAACGAAGTATAGATGTCCATTTTCCCGGTAGTCAGATCAATACACTTTAAGAACATACAGGGAAAGCAGCTTCTTGCCATACCTTAGCAGGGGTTCTGCGACTCATATTTCGAGGGTTGGCACTAATGATGGTCATGCACGTGCCGCTTGGACTCCACAGCCAATGGTTCTCCTTGTCAGCTGTTTTACAGTCTGCCCTCTTCGTGCACCTGATAAAAGCGAACAAAAAGCAATGCTGTAGTTGGGCTCTGCTTTCTCTAAATTATGCAACATTTCCAGCGTTAGAGACTGAAATCGCAACATCAGATCACAGGGAATTTGCTTTAATATTGACCACTCGTGTGCTATTACAGAGTTTTTAATACTCATGGAGTAAGTATTGATGTAGCTTTGAGATATCAAAAAGTAAATGGGAAACATATACATCACCTGGGATTAGACAACCCTAATCGACAGACAGGCAATAATATTTAACATAGCATCAGAAAAAGAACAGAGCCTTTGCCAGATCATCTGAAACTAGGCTGATTAATCTTCACTTTGGTATATAATAAACTCTTCAATGAGTGGGCACTGTCTGTTGTTTCTGTAGGTCACGTGGCCGACATCTATGTGTCGGCAGTAATAAACACCCGACCCACGAGAGGAAAAAGCGGTAGAGCAGTACTGCTGGGGGTACACAGGCTTGTGGATGGTTCCTGCGAAACTGCAGCGCTAGTGAAATAGCACTGTAGTAGTGCAAGGTTTCATTAACTACGGCCACTGCTAAAAATTTCTATCTGCCAGGGCACCCTTAGGGTTCCTTAACCATTACAGGAAGGCAACAGCGGCTGCGCAACCTCACTAAAAACACTGGGAAATTTTCCCAGTTCGCGTACAGGAAGGACAGAGGGAAGAGATGCTGGAGGACAGAGAATGCACATGGGGCTACAAAGGCTCATCTGCTTGGGGGGGAGCAGTCTCATGCATACTCTTTTCATTATGTGCAGCGCTTAGGAGAAAACTCAGTAGTATTTCTGGCTGCTATTACAAAAGACTATTAAGAAGTCAGGGGCTTTAAAACAGTCAAACTGCTGCACAACCTACCCTTAAGGATATTATTTATGTGCAGAGTCCACATCCATATAACATAACCCGAAACAAACAAAAAAGTACTGCACGTGATCATGAGAGAGAATTTGGTGTGGTTGAGGAAAATGTTAGAAACGAATGACTTTTTTTTTCTTTTGGAAAAAAATACCAGAAAATGCAAAAATTCATATTTGCCTGTTCTCAGAGATTATTAATACTTCAAGATATTGAGGTCAGTGGTTATATCACAAACCTGAAGGGAAAACTGGGGGAAATTGCCTTTTGTGTGATATACGACACAGCCTTCAACTCCCAGTAGCCCAAGAGGAGTTCGAGTTGTATATTCCAAATCCCCAGTTTCACACACAAGCTAACTGAAGCCCAAGCTTAAGAGTTACAGTATATTACGTAAACCTATATGCAATGCATAACTTACTCTGTGATGCTCAGTATTAGGCTTCACATTGGCTGTTAGGTAACTTAATGCGATAGCTCACATTTTTAGACAGGAAGCTAGAAGCCTGAAATTCATCTGCATACTATAATTAAATAGCCCCTTTGTTCCAACAGCAAGTACTTAGAATCATGAATTCCCAACTGCTCATGCCAAGGGGTTAATTAACTTACTAGTCAAAAAGAGAGCTGTAAGACTGCTTTTCCCTCTCCCCACTCCCATCAATGCCCAGTGTAAAGAAGAGACATTCCAGAATTGTTCAGTACTGTCCTAGTTTACATATGTTTGAATATTAATTCAGTTAACCTCTACAGATAAGTCAGCCGAGCGACGGTTTCTGCTCTCCTACAATTAGGTGAGAGTTCAGCGTAGCTACACTTCTTGATAGATCACATTTATATAAAACCAGTATTTGATCTATATCCTTTACTGCAGACATTAACCATCCTTTCTTTTCTGCTCTCTTCTACGCTTTCCTGCTGTACTTAAAATATATGCTCTATTTTCTGAATTTTAAAGAGGGAGTACTCTTAATTTCTGGGCAAACATTTGACTGTATGGTTCAGAGAGTCATAAAACATGCAGTTATAAGATTTATACTGATTTTTCAGTACCAGCAGAAATATATGTGTTTTCCCAAACTAATCAAATTTGCAGAAGGCAACAGGGACTTATTTGCGTGCATAGAAGACTGATATCAATGTTTGCTTGCTAAAATTAAATCTCTATCAGGAGCATAAGGCTAAGTACAAAAAGCTGGATTTGCTACGTAAAACAGTAACTCAACGTATGCATCAAATTTCAGACGATGCCATTGCCTACACATGAAAAATACCCACAAAACTCACCTGCCCTCTCTGACACACCAGCCACAGTAAGGGTCCTTTGCTTGAGCACACTTTTCACAGTCTGAGTATTTGTGACAGTCCTGCACAGGAAGTCGATATACCTAGAGAACCAAAAAGTAAGAAAAATTGTAATATGCCTGAGGAAGATACAAGGAGACTGAAAAGTCAGTGAATGGATTGTACAACACTGTTGCCTGCAACAGCAGAAGACTTGACCCTGTATTACTGTGATCAGAGCTCAGTTTGATTTTAACAAAATCTGTATGAACAAAGTCTGCTTATCTCCCCCACCTTGACTTAACAAAATCCAAATTTATACGCTTCTTTTTCACTGCAAGTATTCTTTAATCTCCCTCAAAGTCACATAGGATGTTCTTCTAATCCAGAATCATGAGAACCTCTTAGAGTTTTTCTGTTCCTCCAGATTATGTTAAGTTACTTCTAGAAATCTGCATTACAGCTGCCACTGCAGAACAGAGACTGCACAAAC